AAAAGCAAAACAAAAACAAACAAAAAAAAAACAAACAAAAAAAAAAACACCAAAGCAAAACACAACAAAAAACAAAGCAAAACAAAAACCAAACTAAACAATTTAATTTCACCAGAACACAGTTAGAAAGAAATTTATTTTTTTTTGTTAGAACACATGGGAACTTTTGAATGTCAGTCAATGGAGAAAGATTTTTCAGGTCTAAATGGTAGTTTTGGGAAGAACTGGTCCCTGCTAACCAGCCAAAGTATTTTGTAATACAGTGCAGTCCACTAGGGGGCAGTAAAAAAAAGTGCAGTCAAAAGGTTTTTCAGATCATGCCAAACATAAATGAAGTAAAATGAATCCAAACTTTTGACTGGTAGCGTAAGTGCAGTTAAAATCGCAGCTTTAGCGTAGTAGCTTCATTAGGGACGAACTGCCAGAACGGTTCTGCCAGAGAGCTGTCAGACTGCCTGAAAGGTTTAAAATTTCTTTTAAAACAGATCTCATGTTATGCCAGGTCCCAGCATATTTTCCAACCAGCTGTTTGCTATGAGACAAGCATGAATTTAAGCTGAATTTTTGGCCTTGTTATATAAGCATCCAGCTCCTATATTCAATGATATGAAGATGGCTTTGAATTTATCATCTGAAAGATAACCGCACATCTGTCTCTTAAATTCTGGTCAGAGACACAAAAAAACTGAAGGAAATTCAGTGAGGTTCAGTCAAAGTTCCCTCTGAATACATTCATGAGAAACAAACAAGTGCGAGGTTGTACCTGTCATTTTCTGTTGGTCGTAGCGATGGGAGTCTAAAGCTTGTGTTGCGATCCAGCTTTGTTTGACTCTTCGTTCTTTTGATGGATCCTTTCAGTCGTTTGCTTAAAAAACCCTGTGAAGCAGAAGCACAGAGAAAGTCAGATGAGTTCCTATGAGAAACTCATGTTTTTCAGTCGATGAATGACGGCTGAGTGTGAGGCTGTGCCCGGCATGACTCAACCTTGCTCATGAGTAAGCGTCTGTATATACAACTTTAAAGTCATTATCAATTATACATGGACACCACTCGCTGAAAGACCCTGAGAACATATGACAGAGACAACGGCACGACAAAGCAGGCGGCAACTTTGCAAAGACTTCATTGACCTTTCAAAAGCAGTTTTGAACATTAGAGGACAGGCAGCTGAAGTAAACGCCAACAGACCGTTTCAGCAGACATATCAGTCTATCTTGGCGATGAAAATGCACTCGCACAGAGTAATATGGGACGGCCAAGGCCGGCTGAATAGTTTACCGTCTGCTTGTAGCACAGTCAGTGCTTGCTCAATGTCTTGAAGGAAAACAAAATATTAATAAGTAACCAAGTCAGAGAGTTCAAATGGCCACCTGCGGATATATAAGTGAGTAATATTTGGTTCTGGGTCAGAATGAGCTATTCCTACGAGGTGTGTTAGTTTCAGCAAAACAGGAAGGAAGAAAAAAATACTCGGCATCAGCATAACCATTCATGTCCAGTGAGAGCGTGTTAACTCATTTCAGTTAGTAGGAGGAGCACAATAAATAAATAAAATAAATAGCTTTGTTATGCCTATAAAATCTGATTGATTGCGACTGTAGGAGAAACAACCTAAATAAATAATTGCTAGAATTATTAGGAATAATAATCATAATATTTTGCTCTAATTGTGAAATTTGACTGAATAAGTCTGTTCTTCTGGGAGAAGCAATCCAAATGAATGAACGAACAAACAAACGAATAAAGGGGAAAATTACTATATTTATTTAATATTTTATTATTATTTTCTGACTCTGAAAAATTGACTCAATGAGCCACTTTCAAAGGAATTATAAAATAAATGTTATATTGGTTATCAGGTGATATGAAGAGATTTTGAACATGAAAATAATTACCGGCTTATTAGATCTGCTAGAATTTTCCCTATCAGTCAGAAAATATGACCAGACATACTGTCTAACCTGTTTTACAGTGAATTTATTATTCCGAAGAAAAGAGGAACAAGAAGAGAAAACCAGGAAGAAAACTATCTGTAGTAAATCACAGAGGGTTAGCTGAGCGGCTATACATTAAAATCATGTAGGACAATGACAATGTCTAAAAAAATAGGGCAGGGGAAGTGAGATTTGTCTTGTTCAGATGAGTGCCAGACTGTAAGTAGGAGAGCGTTTGGATAGTATAAGGCCATTAACAGAAAAGAAGTGGGATTGTATGTGATAAATTAGTCATTCCTCATCAGAAGAAAGATGAGAGAAAGCTTTATGTTTGAAAAGTGAAATAGAGAGGGTAAAGAGAAGAGAGAAGAAGAGAGAGAGCGATGAAGCACTAATGTGGAGGGCGTCGCTGTACAAAGTCTTAGAAAGGGCATCGTTTGGAAATTGTCCAGCAAAGATCAAAACATCTTTCAAATTCCCACTCTGAATTATGTGGACACTTAAACACCACAACATTTGAAAAGCTTTCAATATCAAAATCATTGGCATTAATACGAAGTTAGTCCTCACTAACTGTTTCCACTCCTCTGGCAATCATGTGACAACTACTGATGTATCTTTAAATTCCGGCTGTCCTACAGACTGACAGGCTTCAATGCAGTCTTCACATAATTCAAATATAAATTATATGCTGCCTCAACAGAGCTCATTAATCCCAATGCAACTGTCAATCAATGCTTCCATATTCTTAATAGAAAATGACTTGAGCTGTAATGAGACTTCATATTAAAAACACATCCAACATCCAAGTCTTTTATCCGAGTGCACCAAATCAGTTCATTTGTCTAGGAATTTTGTGACAGAGAGACAAATATGCACGATTAATCACTTATAAAATGACACACAGAAATGCTGGAGATATAAATATCTGCCTTGTCCCACTTCCTGCCTGGTTAAAAATATCATCAAACAATTTCTAATGCTTCTCAGAGGCACAGACTGTTTCCAGAATGTGCCTTTGTTACAATATAGCTATCGGAGGGAGCGTCTGCTCATTGTTCATGCAATGCAGCGCTGAAAATACTGCATAAAAAACTCAAAATGAATGCGAAAACTCAAAAGGTATGTGCATGCACCATATATACATATATCATTGTGCTGAAACTCTGTCCTCCTCACACATAGGAACTGGCCTGGAATAAGGAAGACCATTAGTGGCTGGAGATAAACGGAGGAGGACGACGCTTCACTAATCAGGGGCTCAAGAGGGTAATTAAAGTGGGGCATTTATCCCAAGCAGGAATTCAGCTCTATTTCTACATCAGTGCAGTGTGACATGTAACCAGCCTCTTGTAAAAGATAATGACTGATTGTGGGGACTAAGGGGCCGTTTACATGACAACGGTTTCAGCCAAAAACGGGAAACTTTTTATGCGTTTTGACTAGGGATGCTCCGATCAGGATTTTTGCAGCCGATACGGAGTACCGATTTCTTGTCATGGTGATCGGCTGATACCGATTCTGATGCTTCAAGCTTTATATAGGCGGTTTCAATGGGTGCACGCGCCTGGCCCGAAGTTAACTTCCGGTCTGTGTTTGTTTATCAGTCTGGCTATGGCGCCGGCTACAAACACAGTTAAAGTTAAGGTGATGAGTAGACTGAAGTTGGGCTCAGGTGGTTGTGCTGTGGGATGTTTCCCATACATTTATTTATTTGTGGCGCTCACCACAATATCAAAACTGACGGATTTTCCAAAAGGCTTGGTTGAATAAACATGAGCACGTACTGCACGTTTAAAAATCAAAACGAGGTGTGGGTGTTTTTATATCACTGTATTTCCGAAGGAAGACTACCTTTAGAAAATTTTCGATGTCATTTTCATTTCATCTTGCATGTTATATGCCTGATAAAGCAGCGTTTGTGAGCTCAGCGCTGCTTTGTGTACAAGCGACGTCAGAAACGTGCCGCGGCTGGCTGATAAACACAAGCACTGACTAGAGCGGCCGCGATCAGGAACCGTAACGCGCCACAGACGTGTGCAGTGAGGCGCAGATCAACTCTAACGTCACTGAATCTGCTGTGTAGATGAATCATGCAAAACATTTCATATCATCATGCAAAACATACACGACAAACAGCTAATTTTTCATTGTTTCTCGAAACGTCATAGCATTGCCACACCGGCGATGACATGACTGAGGCGCCAAATCATTTATGTCCCCACGCATCATGTACGTCGTCACGCGCTGACGTCATCAAATTGCGATCAGTTCCTGAGATCGGCCAAATTGGTGAGTACCGATCGAGTCATAAAATATGATTATCGGCCGATACCGATCTCCGGCTGATCGATCGGAGCATCCCTAATATATACATATAAAAACCGACCTGTTGGAACAGTATTTCTAATGTTACGCACTTTACTACTAATGTCAATATGACTGCATCATTTCAGGAAGCTATAGCTAACGCTTCTTCAGCAAAGTGTGGATTTACTTCACCAATATTACAACCAACAGCGGAGACGCATCATATATATCATATAATCTTCACTTCCCTACAGGTACTGTTCACTAACAAGGTGACAGCGCCAACTACTGGCATGGCATACGTAATACAGCGTTTTTGGCCATTTTCACAGATATGTGTAAACGCGAATCGTTTTGAAAACGTTGTCGTGTATATGTGAAACTTTTTAAAAACGCAAGGGAAAAACTTTTCTGTTTTTGACTACACCGTTGTCGTGTAAACGTAGCCTAAGTAACAGCAGCGACACTAATATGAAAAATTACAAAAATTAAAGTAATTTACCATTGTTTCAAACCTGTATGACTTACTTTCTTCTGTGGAACACAAAAGAAAATGTCTCAGTGTTGTTTGTCCATATAAGTAAAAGGGTTGCATGTTGTTCTAAATATCTTTTGTCTTCCACAGAAAGACATGAGGGTGAGTAAATGATGACAGGAATTTAGTTTTTTTGGTTAAATGTCCCTTTAGCGATTTTTTCAAATGACAGCTAATGTAGAAAACAAGTTCAAGCAAGGTTACATTTGTTTGTTCAAAGGTTTGTTATTCATCATTCAAAACTTTACAAGCCAGATTGGTTTGGAACAACACAAGGGTGAGTACATGATGGCAATTTTCATTTTTGGGTAAACCATCCCTTTATATTTTTGACAGCAGCTCAGCCGTCTCCACAATAGCATAGCTTTTCCAGTCACTTTTTCCATAATTTAGCAGTGCAGCATTGCAAAATTTCACATAATTTTTAATAAAACACTGAATTGTGAATTAAACTTTACAGCCGAGCAAGTTTAGAAAAAAATCAAATGCTCTCCTGAACAGTCATGAACTTTTAGCATTGCTGAATCTGATTCATTCCTGTGATTCAGCTCATTCAGACAGTTAATTTAAATGAACTGAAAAATAATACTAAAACAAAACAAAAAAAAAAAATGACTGGATAATCTACACTGGTCAGTAAGCAAAACAGCGAAGTAAGCTCTAATAGCCCACAAAAAGACATTCAGGGGCCTAAAAATGAAATAACAGCTGAAGGACAAAGAGTGCTGGCATTGCAGACTGTGAGAAGAAACTGAGACCAGAGAGATGTGATGATGAATTGGTATAATGCTGATATGAGTGCTTTGCTAAATGAACTCACAGGCACTTTGAAGGGTGAGGAGTTGGAGCCATCCATGGAATTGTTCTTCTCCGAGCTGCCCAGCCCCGATATGCTCCTCCGCCTGGGAGAGCGCTCCGCAGACGCTTCCGCTGTGAGAGAAGAGAGGAAAGCAGGGATTAGATCAGAGGAAGTCTTCAGAGAGACTGGGAGGATGTCTTTAAATGTTTTAATAGGCACACTAATGATCAGAGAACTACAGATATTTAAAACATTGAGTTGGAAAGCTGTAACACAGGGGTAGTCGACTGTGGAAAACTTCCAGGAAGAAGTTTGGCGTTATTGATGAATTACTGATACTGCAGACACAGGAATCTTTCTAAGTGGAATCAACATTTGTGCCAAACATTATAAATACTACTGTGGCTACACTAATTTAGAAATGATTGCTGACACATAATCAATAATTATTTCATTATGCTATAGCTTAGGTCTATATTATGAATACTTAAAGGCCAATCAGAACGCAACAGTGCAGTGGTGTATGTTCAACTGCATGGCAATTAAGTACTTCTATGCCAGCATTAGTTGCATTTTATTAGTTGCAATTATTACATTTTGCCTGTATTTATAGTTTCTATATATAAATCATATATTAAGGTAATAATATATATGCAAGCTTGGGGTCAGTAACATATTTTGGAAAAACAAATATTCAGATTTTCATATAAATGCTTTTTTCAAATATTTCAAATAAACCCTCTATTCATCAAAGATGAAAAAATGATCACAGTTAACATAAATATGAAGCAGCACAACTTTCAACATTAATAATAAAAAAAGAATGTTTCTTGAGCAGCATATCAGAATGATTTCCAAAGGATCATGTGACACCGAAGACTGGAGTAATGGCTGCTGAAAATTCGGTTTTGCCATCACAGGAATAAATTACTTTTTAAAATATATTAAAATATAAAACAGCTACTTTAAATTGTAATGATATGAAGCCTTAGTGAACACAAGAGATTTCTTTTAAGTACCAATACAAAATCTTACAGACCCCAAACTTTTTTTAATAAAAAAATATCTGAAAATAAGATTAAGGATACACAAGAACATTATTTTATGAGCATCCCTAATAATGAGGTTTCAAAGACAGGTGTGTCTTCTTTTGCTTCCACATTTCACCCATGATTGGTCCTCCTGACCAGTCTTAAATGTAGTCTGGGGTCTAATAAAGTCACCCGCCCTCTGTAAATCTATCTCTCCCTTAATGATGCCCAGCAGGTCACTAACAGAGAGCTCACGTCTTGCTAAAGTGCCAGTCAGACAGGTTTAAAAGAGTGAATTAACCCAAAGCTTTCAGTAAGTCCTCTTAATAAAGCACTCTACCTGCCACCACCAGACTTTCAGATGGACGCCCTGTGGCTCTCATATAAAGCCACTCTCAGAAGCTAAGTGGAATATTACTCATTTTCCTTATATAGCCAAGTTTATTTTTAATTTCCTCAGACCGATTTATTCTACATTTGCAGGGAGCCCCGCAGCCGATGTGTGTCAAGGATGGAGCAGGACGTAACCTACATCCGCACAACCTCCCAGAGATCCACCCCTCGGGCCGTCCTCCTCACTGAAGTGTACATCACCCCATAATGAGTTAATTCACCCTGAAAATTAAAAACCCAGTCCATCACTGAGCACGAACTGCCGCAGAACTCACGCCTCTCAACGTCTGTACTGAATCAAGAAACACTGTTGAAATTGACCCAGAGGTCTTTGGCCAAGACGCTGCTTCTGGTTTCAGCTTGCAGGCCTCAGTGGATCCATACAATAGAGATTGTGCCTGGTCCGTTGGAGAGCTGCCCACCGCTGCTCAAGATCAAACCCTCGGCTCAAAATAAAAAGCTTAAAGACGTAGTTCACCCAAAAATTCCAAACTTGTCTGACTTACTTTCTAGTGTACGATACTGTTTTTATCCAAACAATGAAAGACAATGGGGTCCAAAACAGTGGTGTAGCCAAAATTTTATTTTTGGGCGGGCCTGGGCAAAAGTGAGTGGGCACTAGGCTAACTAACGGACAGAGTCCAGTGGTGTAGCACAAATCCGCGGCCCCCAACCGTGAACTCAAGTGTGGGGTCTGGTTAAGTTGCAATATTGTAAATATTTGTTTTAAACCTGGAAGGCGAGACCAATGGATCACACACAAGCAACGTGAAAACTTTGCACAAGAGTTATGAAGGTGAACCTCTTCATCTCAGTCGATTCACTAGAAAGTGAAAGTAAAAACTGATGGCGCTTTCGGCATCTGACGCTGCATTAACGGCGCATATTCTCTCAGAGACGACGAGAGACGAATCTACTTCATATGCTGATAACTGTATATCATATATAATGGCATGTTTTAATTTACTCCCTTAATATTTCTCTTGTGGCCCAAACATAGGCTAGTGGAAAAAATTCATTAATTAAAAAAATAAAGAGAGAAGAAACATATTTTGTGTTTTTTGCTTGAAATAAAGCTTTTTCATTGATGATTGCAGTGCAGCCCCGATATGCTCCTCCGCCTGGGAGAGCGCTCCGCAGACGCTTCCGCTGTGAGAGAAGAGAGGAAAGCAGGGATTAGATCAGAGGAAGTCTTCAGAGAGACTGGGAGGATGTCTTTAAATGTTTTAATAGGCACACTAATGATCAGAGAACTACAGATATTTAAAACATTGAGTTGGAAAGCTGTAACACAGGGGTAGTCGACTGTGGAAAACTTCCAGGAAGAAGTTTGGCGTTATTGATGAATTACTGATACTGCAGACACAGGAATCTTTCTAAGTGGAATCAACATTTGTGCCAAACATTATAAATACTACTGTGGCTACACTAATTTAGAAATGATTGCTGACACATAATCAATAATTATTTCATTATGCTATAGCTTAGGTCTATATTATGAATACTTAAAGGCCAATCAGAACGCAACAGTGCAGTGGTGTATGTTCAACTGCATGGCAATTAAGTACTTCTATGCCAGCATTAGTTGCATTTTATTAGTTGCAATTATTACATTTTGCCTGTATTTATAGTTTCTATATATAAATCATATATTAAGGTAATAATATATATGCAAGCTTGGGGTCAGTAACATATTTTGGAAAAACAAATATTCAGATTTTCATATAAATGCTTTTTTCAAATATTTCAAATAAACCCTCTATTCATCAAAGATGAAAAAATGATCACAGTTAACATAAATATGAAGCAGCACAACTTTCAACATTAATAATAAAAAAAGAATGTTTCTTGAGCAGCATATCAGAATGATTTCCAAAGGATCATGTGACACCGAAGACTGGAGTAATGGCTGCTGAAAATTCGGTTTTGCCATCACAGGAATAAATTACTTTTTAAAATATATTAAAATATAAAACAGCTACTTTAAATTGTAATGATATGAAGCCTTAGTGAACACAAGAGATTTCTTTTAAGTACCAATACAAAATCTTACAGACCCCAAACTTTTTTTAATAAAAAAATATCTGAAAATAAGATTAAGGATACACAAGAACATTATTTTATGAGCATCCCTAATAATGAGGTTTCAAAGACAGGTGTGTCTTCTTTTGCTTCCACATTTCACCCATGATTGGTCCTCCTGACCAGTCTTAAATGTAGTCTGGGGTCTAATAAAGTCACCCGCCCTCTGTAAATCTATCTCTCCCTTAATGATGCCCAGCAGGTCACTAACAGAGAGCTCACGTCTTGCTAAAGTGCCAGTCAGACAGGTTTAAAAGAGTGAATTAACCCAAAGCTTTCAGTAAGTCCTCTTAATAAAGCACTCTACCTGCCACCACCAGACTTTCAGATGGACGCCCTGTGGCTCTCATATAAAGCCACTCTCAGAAGCTAAGTGGAATATTACTCATTTTCCTTATATAGCCAAGTTTATTTTTAATTTCCTCAGACCGATTTATTCTACATTTGCAGGGAGCCCCGCAGCCGATGTGTGTCAAGGATGGAGCAGGACGTAACCTACATCCGCACAACCTCCCAGAGATCCACCCCTCGGGCCGTCCTCCTCACTGAAGTGTACATCACCCCATAATGAGTTAATTCACCCTGAAAATTAAAAACCCAGTCCATCACTGAGCACGAACTGCCGCAGAACTCACGCCTCTCAACGTCTGTACTGAATCAAGAAACACTGTTGAAATTGACCCAGAGGTCTTTGGCCAAGACGCTGCTTCTGGTTTCAGCTTGCAGGCCTCAGTGGATCCATACAATAGAGATTGTGCCTGGTCCGTTGGAGAGCTGCCCACCGCTGCTCAAGATCAAACCCTCGGCTCAAAATAAAAAGCTTAAAGACGTAGTTCACCCAAAAATTCCAAACTTGTCTGACTTACTTTCTAGTGTACGATACTGTTTTTATCCAAACAATGAAAGACAATGGGGTCCAAAACAGTGGTGTAGCCAAAATTTTATTTTTGGGCGGGCCTGGGCAAAAGTGAGTGGGCACTAGGCTAACTAACGGACAGAGTCCAGTGGTGTAGCACAAATCCGCGGCCCCCAACCGTGAACTCAAGTGTGGGGTCTGGTTAAGTTGCAATATTGTAAATATTTGTTTTAAACCTGGAAGGCGAGACCAATGGATCACACACAAGCAACGTGAAAACTTTGCACAAGAGTTATGAAGGTGAACCTCTTCATCTCAGTCGATTCACTAGAAAGTGAAAGTAAAAACTGACGGCGCTTTTGGCATCTGACGCTGCATTAACGGCGCATATTCTCTCAGAGACGACGAGAGACGAATCTACTTCATATGCTGATAACTGTATATCATATATAATGGCATGTTTTAATTTACTCCCTTAATATTTCTCTTGTGGCCCAAACATAGGCTAGTGGAAAAAATTCATTAATTAAAAAAATAAAGAGAGAAGAAACATATTTTGTGTTTTTTGCTTGAAATAAAGCTTTTTCATTGATGATTGCAGTGTTAATAATTTTAATTATAGGCCTATAATTCATTGTACAATAAACTTGTTTTGAAAGACCTTTTTAAAAACATTTTCAATGAGTAAGCTAGCCTAATTTGTATTATCCTCGCAGCGCATCAGTTAAGTGGTGATGCGCTATGAAATTATTGTGGGCAAATTAATTGTAATATTAATTTAATAATAAAAGTAACAATAAAAATAATAGGCCTATTAATAAGAAGAATGTAACAGGCCTACATTAGTTGAAAATGCCAAATATATAGATATAACTAAAGTGTATAAAATTATTTTATTCAGAAATGTCATGTTTGTGATTTTTTATTTTATTTGTTAATTAATTATTTAAATTAATAGGCCTACAATTTAGGAAACAGGTGCAGTTAAATAGCCGCCGGTCACAAAATGTATAAAAAAAATAAAAAAATAGGCTAATCTTTGTGAGGACGACTGGCAACAGCTGGTCCTATATTCTTTAGACACCGCACACCAAACGACTTTGAACACCGACTGAAAACACTGACTGATCTCAAATGACATTCTGACAGTATGTGTTCCCGGCTTCACAGAATGAACCGGTCGGTTCGCACGTGGAACTGAAAGTCTTACCGTTACTTGTGGACTGATGGACAGGCTTCCTCCCTCGTCAGTGCGAGTTTTTAAAAGTATTTTTTACAGAATTATGCATTGCTGCTGTTTCTCTAACATTTTCTAACACAGCTGCAAATTACAGTCCAACTGAATGGGTGAACACGCACGAATTTACATGCGCGACACGCCCAAAACAGCCTGGAAAACAATTGGCTAACACTGCTGTCAATCAAACTCATCAAGAATTATGCAAAAACACATTTTATTTATTTTAGTTATTTGAGATGTTACCGTATAATAGTTCTCTAATTGCGTTAAAATAGATTAAACAATAATTATTTAACAAATATTATATTTGTAGAATATAGGCTAATCTTTGTGAGGACGACTGGCAACAGCTGGTCCTATATTCTTTAGACACCGCACACCAAACGACTTTGAACACCGACTGAAAACACTGACTGAGCTGAAATGACATTCATAATCGGCTGACAGTAGTGTTTCCCGGCTTCACAGAATGAACCGGTTCGCGCGTGGAACTGAAAGTCTTACCATTACTTGCGGGCTGATAGACGGGCTCTCTCTCTTGTCATTGTGAGTTTTTAAAAGTATTTTACAGTATTATGCATGGTTGCTGTTTTTCTAACATTTTCTAACACAGCTGCAAATTACAGTCCAACTGAATGGGTGAACACGCACGAATTTACATGCGCGACACGCCCAAAACAGCCTGGAAAACAATTGGCTAACACTGCTGTCAATCAAACTCATCAAGAATTATGCAAAAACACATTTTATTTATTTTAGTTATTTGAGATGTTACCGTATAATAGTTCTCTAATTGCGTTAAAATAGATTAAACAATAATTATTTAACAAATATTATATTTGTATAATAAACTGGAGGGGCCTATTCATCATAGTGGAATGATGCCCGTCAGGCCCCTCTGCTGGCTATGCCCCTGAATAAACCACATGCTTTCTGCCGTTTACAAGATCTGTTTCTACATGCACGCCAATGTGCACCACAAAAGCCTTCAGTATAAAGGAATTATACTGGACGTATAGGACGTATTACACTATTCCTTGAAAAGCCTATTATTAAGTGACTTGTTCATGTGACAAATGTGACAGTTCATGAAACATGAAACACCCCTTGTGCACATACAACTTTTTAGTTACTACCCCAGATACTTAACTACTAAGCTACATCATGACCCAGTGAACATATATGCAGTAATGCTATTTTTGTCAAAACAATGCCTATACTAATTTATCCCTGACCTCCCATTGTTTTTTATGCTTATTTGTTCATTGTTATTGTTTAAAGTATACTGTCTGGTATCTGCTTTTTCCTCCATTTCTGTCACCGATGGAGTTGTGGTTCCTTGCCACGGTCACCTTTGGCTTGCTTAGTTGGGGAAGTTTAACTGATTGCACAGACACTATTGGAAGAGAGCTGAACTGGATGATGACGTCACTGAATCATCAGTGAACTGGCTTTAGCTGGAAAAATGACTCTTTGTAATTTTCTTCTTGCATTACTGTACTGTAAAGCCGCTTTGACACAATCAGTATTGTATGAAGTGCTATACAAATCTAATACAATTTTTTTCCCCTCATATTGTGTCCAGTCATTTTGACCTGGAGAGGATTTTCAAATGTTATCGCATTTGACTAAAACCGATTGACTTTGCTCACACAAGGTATAACAACTTCACATAATGTTTGTACCTTTTCCCTATCAAAAAATGACTGGCCTGCAAAAAAATTGCTAATAAATTTCTCATTATGCCATATTATTACCAAATGTTTAATTTTGGAACCGATTGATTGCAGGCCTTCTTGATCTGAGCTTCTGCACCTCAGTTTTGAGTGAATATTGCCAATATTGTGTTCTGGTTTGTATGCGCCCAGAAAAGTCTATTGTACAGTTTCTATTATCTCTTTCTGTTTGTGCATTTTAAAACAATTTTTGCTTGTATTTTTGCACATTTTGTGCATATTTTGGGCACTTTTA